TGGTGTTTATTTTGTTAATTATATATTTTTGTCTAACTGAGTGGAAGACAGCAACCATTGCAACACAATGCAATCTCTATACTTCTGCAGCCCCACCCACTGAGTAAGGGCCATCACTTGCTTTTGCACCAACTGACCAATGATAGATGGCAGTCAATGCCACCTTAATTCACCCCCAACTGCTCCTTACAAACAGCTAACATAAATCTGTGCACACCACACTCTTATTCTCTATTATACCAACCAGGAGACAAGTGGTGAGTGCCTAAGTGCTAACAACTAGCAAATAGAGGATCACAGTACCCTGGCACACAGATATAGCAAAACAAAATAAATAGAAAAAAAAAAAATCTTAGATGAATCACACCAACCTAAAACCAGAAATTAAACATAAATATAACACCCATCACAATGTCTTAGAGACAACTGATCATCACAATCCATACAAAGAAGCAAGATAGAGTAGTAGAAACAAGGGGCCAGTATACAAACCCATAAAACATCCCTGAAGAAGAAGAAGCATTGGAACTCCCTGATAAGGAATTCAAATTTATATTTGGATACCTTCAATGCATTGAGACACAGATCAAGGTAAACACTGACAAAATTAAGGAAATCACGGACAAAACTCTAGAACAATTTAAGAAAACAATGCAAGAACAAGTTGACAAAATTAAAAAAAAAATAGAAATGATACAAAAACAATAAACAGAAATTCAGAAGATTAATACTAAGATTTCAGAAATAGAGAACACGTTGACTGGGCAAAGGAGTAGAATTGAATCAATGGAAGACAGAATTAATAAGATTGAAGTCAAATATCTCAATATTACTTTGTTAAAGGATCAGTCAGAAAATAGATCAAAACAAAATGAAGAAAGCCTAAGATTTATGTGGGATACTATCAAGAAGAATAACCTACATGTAATCAGAATTCCAGAACAGGAAAAGACAAACCACAGAGAAAATTGTTGGAGATTTGTTGGAAGAGAATTTCCATGATGAAAGATGGGAATATATCCATTCAAGAAGTCAACAAACCCCAAAGAGGATAGACCCCAAAAGAAAATCACCAAGACATATCATCATCAAACTCATCAAAACCAAAGACAAAGGAAGAAGCCTGAAAGTATCACAGGAAAAACAAAAAGTTACCTACAAAGGGAAACCAATAAGACTATTCTGATTTCTCGCAGAAACCATGCAGGCAAGAAGGCAATGGGATAATATATATAAAAGCCTGAAAGAAAACAATTTCCAACCAAGAATTATATACCCAGCAAAATTATCCCTCAAATATGAGGGTGAAATTAGGAGATTTCCAGATAATTAAAAATTAAGAGAATTTGTTAAACAGGCCAACCTTACAAAAGATGCTAAAGGTATTCCTTTGGACAGAGAACCAACAACAGCAAACAACAACAAATGATTAAAACACATGATGACATAACCCAGAAACCAACCCAGTTATAGAAGTATCAAAGTAAAAGAAGCTCACAAGACTGTAACAGGGAACCAGTGACATCAAATGGTAAATGAGGACAACTACAAACCAAACACAGGGAATAAATACTGTAGTTACAGAATTTCTAAATGGTGAAGAAGTCAAGAGAATTGTGAGATAGAACAGACTGTTTTAAACTTGGGAAGAAAATAATTACAGGGTAACCTCAAAGAAAAATAATAAATCTTCTCATCAAAATAAAAAAGAGAACAGGCACAAATATTTAGCAAATACTAAAACAATAGCAACAAAGGAGATAATAACACAATTCATGAACAAAATGAGCTCAGCCCAGAAAATTATATGGAATAAAGAAATCAGCAACACCATGAGAAAACACACAACAAAATACCATCAATAAATATTTGTTGATAATAACACTGAATGGCAATAGATTAAACATGATACTCAGGAGATGAAGAGTTGCAGACTGGATTAGAAAACATGACCCCTCAATATGCTGTCTATAAGAGACTCACGTTAGACACAAAGACAAAAATAGGCTAAAAATCAAAGGTTGGTGAAAGATATACCAAGCAAATGGCAACCAAAATAGTGCAGGATTGCCAATATTAATTTCTGATACTATAGACTTTAAGATAAACACAACCAGAAGAGATAAGGAAAGACTACATAATGATTAAAGTATCAGTTGAATAAGAGGACATAACCACAGTATATATCAATGCACCCAATGGAAGTTCCCCAAAATATGTAAATCAGATTTTAACAGAATTGAAAAGACAAATATATGACTCCACAGTCATAGCAGGAGATTTTAATACACCACTTTCAATAAGAGATAAAAGAGCTAGAAAGAAACTCAACAAAGATGCAGAAGAACTAAACAATACAATCCACCAACTTGACCTTATAGAATCTACAGAGCACTTCACTCAACAACAGCAAAATATACGTGCTCTTCTAGCACACA